GTTCGTGTGAAGAATAAACGTGTGTGTGAGTGTGGAAGTGTGTGTGTGTGTGTGTGTGCGCACACATGTATATATACGTATATATCATATCCCTTAATTGAAATGCTTGGGATTAGAAATGTTTCTGATTTCAGCATGTTTGTATGTATATATATCACAAAGTTTATTTATGTTTCATATATACCACATACATGTAGTCTGAGAGTAATTTGTATATGTTCAGTGTACCTCCATTTCAACTACAACTGGTCACATGAGGTCAGGAGTGCAATTGTCCACTGATGATATTGTGTAAGATCTGGGAACATTTAAGATTTTCTAATATTTCAGATTTTTGGATTATGGAGGGCAAAGTGTATCAGGGTAAATGGAGTTGGAGCTTTTATACTAGTGCTACCAATGAAGACACCTAGAATAAGGGCTAAGGGCTTGAGAGTAGGCACAGAACAGGTAAGAAGAGGAAACTTGAATTAGTGGGGAAACATTTTTAAGTAAAATTGACAGACTGATGAGATAACATAAGGGGCTATGCTGAGGTTTCTAAGTTGGGAATCTGGGAGAGTGGAAATGCCGTGCATTCTCAGTGAGATTCCAGCCTATGTTTAAGTAGATTTAACTTTCCCCATCTCCCTAATTTATAGAGAGGTACAGTGGTGCCTCAGTTCACGAATGTGATTCTTTTAACTTGATTCTGCAAACCAAGTTGGGCAAGAACCGAATCAAATTCAGTGGTTAGGTTCAATGTTGACCTCACGGGGAAATGTGATGTAGTTTTCATCTAGTTCAGTTTGCAAGCCAGATCATGGAGAGAATTGAGTCCATGAACCAAGGTACCACTGTATTAGACAAAATGCTCTTTGATTTAGTGTGCTCGTCATCTTTTCATCACCAAGACCAAATACCTTACCTATACAGCTTACAAGAGAAGAGATTTATTTTAGCTCACAGTTTCAGCGGCTCATTCCATGGTCAGCTGGCTCCAGGGCAGAAATGACGTGGCAGAAAGACCCATTGAAGGAAAGTTTCTCAAGCCCTCGCAATCAGGAAGCAGAGATAAACCAAGAGCCTGAGCAAGGGATATCCCCGCAAAGGTACACCCAGTGGCCCACTCCTCCAGCCAGGCTCCACATCCCAACAGCACATTCATCTATGAACATAGTGACGGGCTTATCTACTGATAATCACACTCCTGTGGTCCAGTCTCCTTCTAAAAGCCCCAGCTTTGAACCCCTGAGACCTTTAGGGGACACTTTAGATCTAAACCATAACAGACCCCCTGGGTGACAATCCATCCCCTCTTCCCTTCAGATACTCTGCAACTCAGAGGAGGCGCACCCACCACCCTGGTAGATTTCTCTGACTTTATTTCGTGTTTTCTGAGAGAAATATTCAGGGAGAGAGAGCTGTAAAATAATAGCAATCCCTAGCATAGTTTGAGCTCTTGTAATATGCCAGCCATTAGGTTAGATGTTTGACAGTCATTTCTTTGAAAAAGCCTGCAGTGAAACTCCATGAGATGTAGCTACTGTTACCTCCACTGTGCAGCAAAAAAATGGGGAGTTTAAGTAACTTGTCTGTCACATTATAGAGTTTGGTTGTATTTTTTTAGGCCTTTTGATTCTAAAGAAAATGGCTAAATATTAGAGGCTTAAATAGACGTTATGAGATTTTGTTTCATTTAATAGAAATGCAGTCAGGCATGGTAGAGCACACCTGGAATCCTAGCACTTCCTGAGGCAGGAAGATCATGAGTTTGAGTCCAGCCTAGAAAACTTAGCAAGATCTTATCTCAAATTAAAAAAATGAAAAGATCTTGTCTCAAATTAAAAGATGTAGCTCATGAGAAGGCCCTGGGTTTAATCTCTAGTACTTCAATTAAATAATACGCAAGCCTCCTCTCAAACTTGAGAAATGTTTTTTTTTCTTTAAAAAAAAAGCTTCTTTGTCCTTTCTTGTTAGTGTGCTTACTCTTTGTATCTCTGTATAAGAACATTTCTATCACTCAGACCCAGGAGGAGGCCTGGTGTGGTAGTGCAGGCCTGTAATCCCTGCACTCAGGAGGCTGAGGCAGGAGAATCACTATGAGTTTGAGGCCTACCTGGGCTACATAATCAGTTCAAGGCCACCCTGAACTACATAGTGAGACCCTGTGTGAAACACCACCTCCCTTCCAAAACAGACCTAGGAGTGAGGTGGTTAATTTGCAAGCAGCCCTGTGCTCTGTCACTTGGGTACAAAGAAATGAGGGAAGATTTATTGTTACATACTGTGCTGAACTCTCTGCAGGTTTGTTTTTTTTTTTTTTTTTTTT